GCTTTCAGCAGACCAGGTTCTCCAAGGGGCTCAGTCCTGCGGCAAGGGTTTCTACCAGAGGCATGGCAGCGGCTTTGGAGTGTGGGAGCGGCTGTTGGGACTTTGTTTGGGCCAGACTTTCTGAGTATCTTCTAAACGTATGACTTCATTCCCCCAGGGAGTCCCTGAACTTTTGGACATCTTGGGGAAACAGAGTCACAACATTGGAAGAGATTCAACAAGTTCAGGAAGTATGCTTGAAAGTTGACTTTCTTGTCCACTGGACACAGATGGGGATTATCAGACATCTACCTTTTTGGAGAACTGTCCAAAATAAACTAACAGAACAAGGAAAAAAATCTAAATTACCACGATAACTCAGTATTGAGAATTTTGACCACACACCCCATCCACCACTTCCCCTCCATTCCGAGATCTCTGTTCCAAGCTCTCGAGCTCTAGTGCCTGGAGGGGCAGGTGGGAGATCTGGGGGGGGATCGCCCTGTATGCCCAGGCATGGAGCAGCCACCTGCTCCCCCTCTACTCCACCAGTCCTATTTCCAGAGAGGGAACGTATCTCTTCTCAGCCCCCATGTTCAGAGAGACAATTTTTTGTTTCCCTCTGAATCTTCACTCGGGTGTGAACTCTCTTCCATCTCATCCCCCGTTGCATGCCCCCAGGTCTCTTTGCTGTACACAGCATCTCAGCCCACTAGCTGTCCTTCACCTAGCCACTCCACACCCATCCTGTTTGGGTAGATCTCTCGGGGTCCCTCTGCCCAGGGCCCAGCCACCACACAGCACACTGCAACCCCACCAAGGGAGCAATGACTGGCAGCCAAAGCAATTAATGCCGGTATTTCTGCAAGCTAAAAATTCTCATAATTAAAACTTCTTTTTACAAGATCTCAGGAGTCCAAATAACCCGAAGGGAAGAGAAGTGCTACTGTCTTATCAGGAAATGTGATGCAAAGAAATAGAAAAACTCAGCAATAGAGACCTAAAATTTTACTCTGGGGCCCAATTATCAGATACAAATATTTATTTTGAGTAAAATAACATGATAAGCTTGCTATGTTCATTAAGAGCTCTAGCACATTTTAAAAGTCTCCCAAATCCCAACAGTTGCAATCAGCCATGTCATCGAAATTTAGTTTTAATATCATCACTTTCCTGAGCTTAGCAATGACAGAACTTAATCCAGACAACTGCCATCCATTAAAGGAAGAAACAATTACTTCACAACAGAAAGATTAACACAAGTGCTAAACACAAAAATTAAAGGCAAATGAAGAACAGTCATTGGGGAGGACAGCGGTCACTATGGTGACGTTTACTGATGGTGAATCTCACAAGACTGAGGAGACTGCAGAGTGACTATCATATCACAAGTTTTCGCAATGTCAGCTTTCAAAACCCAGATAATGAGCCTTTTGTCCAATCCAGATCTTGGTCTGAAAAACTAGTGTTCTGACATTAGATAACATTTAGATAACATAACAAAATATTGAACTCTACTCACCCAGATTTTTTTTAAAAAGTAAAAAACAAAGGCTGATTATTAATAAATGCAAGTTGGCAAATTATTTGCCAGAGAAAAGATATATGTAGCTCTTCCGAGGCTCCGAAGGAGACATACTACCACAAAATAAATTTTCTCTTTATTGAAGTGGGATTATTTAAAGTGAGAAAAAATATAAGGAGGGTATCAGTTACAAACTGCACCAATAAGCTAAGGTATCTGGGCTGGAAAATCAGACCTACTCTACAGTCTCTCTCTCTCTCTCTCTCTCTCTCTCTCTCTCTCTCTCTCTCTCTCTCTCTCTCTCTCATGCTGCCATTTAAATCCAGAGTTGCCAAATGACTGAACAGAGGCAGGTAGCTTGACCACACTGAATGTATTCATTGCGCTTTTTCTCATTCCTCAAAGTTCTTTTTTTTTTAATTTTATTGAATCACCATGAGATAGTTACAAGCTTTCATGTTTGGGTTATAATCACACAATGATCAAACACCCATTCCTCCACCAGTGCACATTCCCCACCACCAATATGCCCAGTATACTCTTTTCACCCTCCCCCTGCCTCCAAGGTTGATAATATTCCCCATACACTCTCTCTCTACTTTTGGGCATTATAGTTTGCAATAGAGACACTGAGAGTCATCATGTTTGGTCCTTTATCTACTTTGTGCCCACATCTCCCATTCCGACTGTTTCCTCAAGCCATCATTTTCTTAGTGATCTCTTCTCTATTCCAGCTGCCTTCTCCCCTTTGCTCAGGAGGCAGGCTTCCAACTATGGAGCAATCTCAAAGTTCTCCATGCAATCAAAACCAGTGCTGATTTTCTCCATTAAAAAACAAAATTTCCAAGACTGTCTTAACACTAGGGAGAGCCTGAGGTCCAAGTGAGCAGGCTGTCCAAGCTGCTCCACAGACTGGTTCCAGGATCTCATGGAGAAAACCAGAGTCAGCTGGAGTGATTGTATAGCACGTACCTGCCTTGCACACAGCCAACCCGGGTTCAATCCCCCACATCCCGTCTGGTCCTCCAGCACTGCCAGGAGTAATTCTTGAGTTCAGAGCTAGGAGTACTCCTCAGCATCACCAGATGTAAAAGCCACCCCCCCACCAACACTACCACCAAAAAGCCAAAAACAAAAACAAAATTCTGTTCAGAAAACCAGAGTTAGCCTGCCGCCCCTCAAAGAAAATGATCCGAGAGCATATATGATCTCATTCCACACACTGGCATGATGACTGCTCAAAGCCTTCTGAGACACACACCCCAGGTGTTCAATCATGAGGCCTACACATACATCCCACCTGCTTAGATAATTCAGGGAAACATCAGAAGTTAGGGAAGGACTTTCTCTGGAGGCTGGAGAGAGAATACAGCGGGTTAGGTGCTGGCTTTGCAAGCGACCAACCAGGGTTTGATCCCCAGCATCCATTAAGGTACCCCCCGAATACCTCCAGGAGGGATCCTGAAGTGCAAAGCCAGGAGTAACCCCTGAACACTGCCAGGTGGGGCCCCCAAAAGAAAACAAACAAGAAAAAGGACCCTACACTGCTGCAGTTCCCAGGCGGCCATAATAAGCAGCACACACAGAGAAATTTGGGGTGGGCATCCCAATGATAGAAACAATTTGAAAACGAGGGAAGAGAAAAAGAGAAGGGAGGAATGCACAGCTTACACCCAAAGGAGCTCTTCAAAAGGAGCACTGCTGAATGGTAATTCAGGCTACCCAGAAGACAAGCAGTTGCTTCTGCAGGTCTGTGAATTTGAGCAATAATTTGAGCAGGTTGCTTGACTCTGTGATCAAGGCAGGCCTCATTTCAGCACCTGATGAGCTTGACTCACTCAGGGTTTCATCCTGCTTTCAGGCCACTGAATGCACTGGCATGATGTCTCCAGGCTGAGTCACAGCCTCAGGAAGGAAAAAGACTTTTCCCTCCTTCCTCCAAGCCTCCCCCAACACAGGGCTCTCCCATCAAAACCACTGCCTCGGGTCATTACTGTTCCATCAAGCACTGGCTTAAGTGCTTCCTGTAGATATCCACCTTAAGATCAGAGTTTTTTCCTAATGTGATCAGAGTAATAATAAAGTGCCTTTGCTAATGGAATGCTTGCTCTGTCCTGGCGGCAATGCTGGGGTCTAGATTTGCTCATTCGTTCACCCAACAAGTATCTACTGAATCTCCAAGCTTGTGGAAGAACCGATTTTAGGTTTCAGGGCACAGTGGGAATAAAGCAAACTCGGGTCTGTTGTAGAACTGTCTGCCCTGGGAAAGAAGAAAGAAGTTAGAACCATCAATTTGGAGTGTGTGCTATTTGGGACTGAGACTAAGAACAGTCAGGCTCACAGGGTGACCATGGGGAGTGTTCTCTACAAGCAAAGCCCACGTTTGAATTCAGGAACATGTTGGATTTTGCTCTGAACTGGATGGTGTCAGGGAGAGGAGAGAATTCTGTGACTGAATTTTTCCTCTAGAAGATTTTTCCTCTAGAAGATAGGAGAAATGAAGTGAGGAAGACACTATACAAGCCAGAAGGGGGCTTATGGTTGTATTTTGGGGGTTTGGATAATCTTATTCTGACCTGCATTTGGACCTGACTATCGAGGGGCCTTGTTTTAATCTTGATCCATCATGGTCAGAGAAACTGAGAGGTTCTTGTTGATTCAGCAGGGGACTTAAAGCCACACCTGAGGTGCCAAACGTGTCCCACTGGCCATCTGGGGCTGCTTCTCCCTTTCCCAGGGTCAGTCCTCACTCACCCTTCCAGGAAAGATCTCGCTGCTATTTCTCATCCACAAATGAGAAAGTGAGATCTAGTGAGGGGAAGGACTTATGTTAGAGTAAGCAACTAAAAGTCCAAGGATTCTAACTCAAACGATCTGCTTCCACAGCTAGCCTCTTCGCCAGACTACACACCCGGGGGAGCCTTTGGAATTCCCTGGACAAGACCTCCCTAACCCAAGGGCTAGAACAGATCTCAGGGAAGATGGATATGAAGCCCCCAAGGGAAGTAGCTGCCCACAGACATCCCTGTCACCTAAACCAGAGGCGGGGCTGATGCCCCCAGAAACCAGACCCATCTGGTCCTGTCAAGGTGGAAGCTCTTTTGCCTCACGTGGGATACACATTATCCAGTGGCTGTAAGGCAGTTTTCTTTCTCCCAACTCCCATCTTCCCGTGACCACTTACAAATGATGACCAGAATGTTTTTGTTTTTGTTTTGACTTTTTGGGTGACACCGGCGATGCGCAGGGGTTATTACTCCTGGATTTGCATCCAGGAATTACTCTTGGAGGTGCTCAGGGGACCATATGGGATGCTGGGAATGAAACCCGGGTCGGCCGTGTGCAAAGCAAATGCCCTACCCACTATACTATCGCTCCAGCCCCGATGACCAGAATTTAAAGAGTGGGAACTGCATCCCACCACCACAGAAGAAACGTCAGAGGCCCTTCTACTTCTCAGGCACCCCTCGCCCCCAGCAGCAGATCCGGCGCTTACCAGCAGGTTCTCCGGCTTGAGATCGCGGTGGACGATGCCCTTGTCGTGCATGTGGACGAGCGCCTGACACAAGTCCAGGAGCATGAGGGCGGCCTCGCGCTCGGGGAACTTGACGCTCTCCATGATGGCATCAAAGAGGTCCCCGCCCTGCACGTACTCCATGATCAGGTAAATTTCCTTCTCCGTCTCGTACACCTGGTGCAGCTTCACAATGTTGGGGTGCGAGAGGCTCTGGATGATGGAGATCTCGCTGTCCACGATGTCCTCCTTGCCCCGGAGCTTGGCCTTGTCGATGATCTTCATGGCGTAGGCCTGCTGGGTCTCCCGGTGCCGGCACTCCTTCACCACGGCGAAGTTCCCGTCACCGATGACCTTGCCCGTGTCGTAGTGCTTCTCCACGTCGGCCGCGATGATGCCACCGGGCCTTGGCTTGCGCCCGCTCGGCCGCTCAGCCTTGCTCTCCTCGGGCCGGGGCCGGGGCTCCTTCTCGGCCTTGGCGGGCTGCTCCTCCTCCCGGGATGCTGCGGTGGCTCTCCTCCCTCCGGAGGCCGCAGGCCGCTTCTCCTTCTCGGCCTCCAGCTCCTCCTCCCGGGGTCTAGGTGGCTTCTCGGCCTCAGCCTGCTGCTCCCTTAGCAGCCAGGTGCTAGGGCGGCTGCGTGCAGCAGCGCTCCGGGGCTCCTTCCTGCCCTCCCTCAGACCCTCCTCTCGCACGGGCCGGGCTTCCCCGGGATCCTTCTTCACCTTGGTGGCACCAGGGACAGGGACACCCCCTTCCGCAGCCTCCAGCTCTCTGTCCTCTTTCTTCCCCGAGCTCCTGCCGGGCCTCCGCAGCTCCAGCGCGGGATTCCTGCCCCGGGGCCCGTCCTCCGTGGTCGCCGCCTCCGGCGACCGCCTGCAGCTCCTCGTCCTCACCAGTTTCTCCACCTCGTAGCTGTGGCGGGTGCCCAGGTCCAGCTCGCTGGTGCCCAGGGACAGCCGCTCCCTCTGCAGGCCCTGCTGCTGCAGCTCCCGCTCCCTCTTGCACTTCTCACAGCGGATGATCTCCCCCGACGTCTTCTCGATCTCCAGGCCCAGGTGCTTCTCCCCGCTGGCGTGCCTCTCCTCCAGCGTGGCTTCCCGGGGCAGCTCGGGCTCCCACTTGCCCCTCACCCACTTCTTCTGGACCCGGGTCCTGTCCTCCGAGGCCGGCCCCAGAGGGCTCTTGCCCTCCTGTCTGACGGTGGCCGTGGGCCCGGCTGCCTCGCTGCTGCTCTTGAGGGTCTCGGCATCCCCGCAGTGGTGGCCCCATCTCAAGGCCCGGCTGTAGAGGCGGCTCCTCAGCCTGGGAGACGGTACCCGGTTATGCTGGGTGAGCGTCAGCGAGCGGCCCTTGCTGGGGTACAGGGCCTCGGCGGCCACCTGCATGCTCTTCAGCGTCAGCGGGTCTTTGCCCATGGCGATGAAGGCGTCCCCTTCGCGGAAGAAGTCAGACACGCTCCTGATCTCCCGTCCCTTGAGGGTGAAGAGCTTCCTCACCCGGTCATTCTTCCATCGCGGGAAGCCCAGGGCCTCGGAGATGTCGGCCAGGAGCTGCTCGAAGGTCTGCACGGAGCGTCTGTTGAGCAGCAGAGTGATCTTGCGAAGGGGGTGCGCCCCCAGCTTCACCACTGTCACCACCCGGGGCTTCAGCGGGCTGCTGTCGGGGTGCACGGGGTGAAGGCCGTGCTGGGGGCTGAACACGGGCATGACGGCGCCTCGGGGGCCCGGGAATGGTTTCTCCAGAGTCCCTCGGCCCGCGGGCAGCCAGGAGCCCTGCAGCTTCCGCTCCGTGATCCTGGAGCTGAGGTATTTGAGAGAATGGTCACACAGGCCTCGGTGTCCTGCAACGGGAAAGCAAGAGGGCAGAGTGTTAGACCAAAACGTGGCCTCAAGAGCGCCCCCTCTAGCCTTCATCAGAATGTTACAAAAAATGATTGGTCTTGTGACAGGTTTTGTTTTGTTTTGTTTTTGCAGGGGTTACTCCTGAATTTACACTCAGGAATTACTCCTGGTGGTGCTCAGGGGACCATATGGGATGCTGGGAATCGAACCCGGCTAGGCTGCGTGCAAGGCAAACGCCCTACCCGCTGTACTATGGCTCCAACCCTGATCTTGTGACAGTTTATGCATGGGATCTCCCGTGGATCATCCTGAGCCCACAACACCTTTCGATCTAATCATCACATAGTGGGACTCCTCTGTGAGAAACCAGGAGAGCAGAACAGTTCCCCCATGGGCCTGCAGGGGCTACTCTCAACTTCCTGGCCACTGCTCCCAGGATGGGCCATGCCTCAGGGCTCCTTTCTCAGAGAGACCCGACCCTCTCAAGAACACAGCCCTAGCTACCCTACTCTTAGCCAGCTTTCAAAGATCTGCAACTAAGAAGATTTGCTGTCCAGAAAATACTAACAAGAGGGCAAAACATTCTGGAACATTGAAGAACCCAAACCATTTCCATTTCTTTGCCAAGTTTTCTCAGTTCAACTTTTAATCTACTCAAGGTGAGACAATATATGAAGAGGTTACAATCAGAGAGCTGAATTGGAATTCTCCCAGGGCCTCTATTTGTGTAAACCTGGGTAAATTACATTTCCGCGTTTTTCATTTGCGTGGTGGTCATGATAACACCTTGCGGGGGTTTCTGTGAAGCATAATGAGAAAATAATTACAGTTCACTCAGCAGAGTGAATTCGCCAACCCTGACAGCACAATCAGTGAGGGCACAGTAATTACCAGTTATTCACTCTGTCTTTAAGATCTTCGAATCTCTTTTGTATTATAATTTCATTGTGGTCATAATGTAAGCTATTGATAAAGTAGAATGCTATTGTGCAGAGCTTTATCATCTGATGTCAAAAGACCTTGCAGACCTACGCTGGCTATTCTTATTTTATTTTTTTAAATTCTGATGGAGCTGCTCTTGCCAGAGAAAATTGAAGATCACAGAGTTCAGGCACAGAAATGTTCTCCAATAGTTTTTCCTTTCTTTATCACAAAAGGGAAAGAAAGAACGAGGCCATCGTAATGAAATGTTCAGAGCTTTAATAATGAGAGTGCGTGCACTTTCACTGCACTCCCTGATAAACTGCATAAATGAGTAAAACCAGATCAGCTGCACACAGCCAGAATAAAGGAGCAAAAGCAAGAGGCCAGGAGACAGCACAGTGCTTAGGGGTATATGCTGTACATGCACCAGGACCCAAATCCAAACCCAGTCCCATAGCCCTCCCTGCCCCAAGCACCCCCAGGAGTGGTCCTGGTGATCCCCAAGAGCCGCTAGGTTGTCCAAGTGGCCCCCACCACTGCTGGCCCCAAGTAAGATCACAGTAGTGGGCCTGAACATGGAACTGTCTGGCCTGGTGGCCGAGTATTGTCAGGGGTGGCCTGGGCACACTGGGCTTTGCTTGGGAGCCCCCACCCCCAACACACACACACACACACACACACACACACACACACACACACGGGGGCAAACTGATCCACTTTCTATTTCTGCTCAGATCAGAAAAGGAAAGGGGAGAATGACAGGAGAGTGAACCAGGGGATGAGAGAGGGTTGGGTATCATTAAAGTTACCTTCACAAGGTCCACATTTCCTGCCCCCCACAAGAATCCATCACATGCTTCCTTTGAAAGGCTTCAGAGAGGTCCAGTAAGGTGTACTGGTGGATGTAGCATGGTCACATAGAACCATGACCCCAATAAAGATATAGTCCAGTGGGGAAGGCGCCTGCCTTGCACATGGTCAGTCTGGGTTCAAGTCCTGCTACCACATATGGTCCCCTGAGCCCCACCAGGAGTGGCCCCTGAGCGCTGTCAGGTGTGCGTAAAAACCAAACAAATAGCATTTCATTGCCTTTCATAGCCAAGATTAGTTTGTTATCAGCTCCTTTAAAAGAGATTTGCTCAACTCAGAATTCCCAATTAGACCTGTATACAAAGGCTACCCATGCAAAAAAAATGAAAACTCATCACAGGAAGGGGCTCAAGGGAGAGTGCAATAGCATCAAGTGCTTGCCACCGGCATAAAGCGCGAGACAGCGACTTCAATCCTCGGGTCAGCCCACGGGTTCCATGCACGGGCACTGACACCACCACTAAGAAGTGTGTGCCCCCAAGTAAACACTGTGAAGAATGCACAATCTCCTGAGAGCACTTGCCTGAGCATCAGAGACCCCCTGCCCCCACCCCCACGCCGGCCCCTGCCTCCTTGTCGCTGTGCCAGGAACACTGTCACCACAACACACACTGCACAACAAGAAGGTAGTGGGACCCCCCACCCCACCCACCTTGAGTACTGCAGCCAGAGGGGCAACCTCAGCGACTGCCACAGGTCCCTGGCCAGGCATGTGTGTGAGTCCCAGCATCACACTGGGCAGGGCTGGGGGATGATGACACGCTACCTAGCCCCCTCTTTTGAAGGTAAAAGGAAGTTAAAAATAGCTGCCTCCAGCACCCTGGGAGGGTGCCAGCCGGGCAATGTGGCCCAGCGTATTTGCACACAGACGTCCCTGCTTTTCAATCACGTCGCGCAATCTGTTCTGAGATGATTCTCCTCTAGACGCAGGTGTCTAGATGAGATGGCAAGGGAGGCCGCTCCCGCACCAACACAGGGGCCAACACAGGGGCCTCACCATCACCAGCAAGATCACCGGCTAGGCTACCTCTCAGCTCCTTCTTCACTCACAGTCATCGGCCACTCCTTTCCTTCTAAGTCCAACTGATGGGAGAGGGGCCCAGGGGCCACCACAGTACTTCCCGTTGGGGCTTCCATGCCAAAACTGAGGGAGAGAGCCCAGGAGGCGACTTTCAAACACTCGTGGGTCCAAGGGGGCATCTGCTATTCTTTCTTTCTCTTCTGGGACTTTTATCCAAGGAGAACCCCCTCTCCCCCCACACACACACCCCTATACAGCATGCCAGGCCTAAGCCAAGAGGAGCCAAGGTGGGCTCCGAGAAAGGGATGCTGGCTGGTCGCCCAGGATGAGGGAGGGCAAGGGTCGGAGAGGGCAAGGCCCCAGAGAGTGACCACTGCTGAGGTCAGAGACGCCGGATCTGCCAGGAGATGTGAGAGGCGGCAAGAGGCACACAGTAGCTGTGGGCCAGGTCTCTCCCAGAAGCGGCAGGCCAGGTCAGGAGTGAGCACAGCTGCTTTGGGCACTGGGCTCAGATGGGCTTCCAGCTGGGTGAGCTGCGGAGCCGCCAGTCTACAGAGATCAGTGAAGTCTGGGGCGGGCAGGGTGGGCTGTCCAAAGGGAGAGTGAGGTGGCCACAGCTGACAGCTAATGCTCCGGAGTAGAGAAAGCCACCATCGTGTGGGGGCAATGACTGTGCTAGTCACTAGAAGCCAGAGCCGTGCCAGGGCTGCCGAGAGCTGCCCCCTGAGGTATCTGCTGCAGGAGAAAGACCAGAGAAGCTCAACTCTGAGCCCGGCCTCGAAGAGCCACAGCTCTGGCAATGGGGCTACTCTACTCCCGGGGCAGGGAGAGGAGCAGAGGAGAGCCAGGAGGACAGAGGCATCAGATGATGCCATAAGGGAGTCAGGAGGGTCCCGGAGCCAAGTTCCGTATGGGCATCAGGGAGGCACAGAGCAATTATGAGCAGAGCTCGTAAGGACAGTGGGATCCACTTGTGGTGCGGTGACCCACAATGGCAGCAGAGCCTCAAGCTCCCACACAGGGAATGCTTAGAGGATGATTTCCTCCCCAAGGGATACAGAAACCAGCGGGACAGAGAGAGAGAGAGAGAGAGAGAGAGAGAGAGAGAGAGAGAGAGAGAGAGAGAGAGAAAGAGAGAGAGTGCAGGTGGGGGGCACCTTCTGGTCAGGGCCTCTGTGTGGCTGTGTCCAGCCACACTCCAGCCTCCAGCTGTCTCCCTCTGACATTGCCTACTTCCTCGGGCAGAGGGGGGGTGCCATCTGGGGGAGGCCCCTCCCTCAATCCAGGAGAAGCCCAGTGACCGAGGTCTCTGGGCAACACACATAAGCCACAGACTCTGTTGCATCTCCCTCAAACACACTTGGACGCCCAGGCTCTCATTCTACACCCCCATGGTCTAGGATAGGATCCCATCTCTCCAGAGTAACTTGGAGCTATAGAACTTGGGGTTCTAGCTGCATCACACTTACTGGGGAACATCAAGGAAACAACCTGCAGATGTGAGTGGGGAGAGGAAGGGCTGTGTTCAGGGAACCTATAACCCTGTGTTCGGGGGCCAGGCCTCCAGATGAAACAATGCAATCCAGCCCTTCAAACCTCAACTCCAGATGCAAATATTTTTTTTCTCCTCTTCTACCAACTCTATAGCCTCCTTTAATATTCTTGGTGCAGAGCTGGAGAGAAAGTCCAGGGGTTAATAAGGCACTTGCCTTTTTTTTAAATCCAACCTGGGTTCAATCCCCAGCACTGTCTATTGGTCCTCCAAGCCCAACAGGAGTGACCCCTGAGGACAGGGACAGGAATAAGCCCTGAGCACAGTCAGGTGTAGCCCCCCTGCAAAGGAAAAATAAATAAAATACAATTCTTGGGCCAGAGGAAAAATGTTTACCTTCAAAGGTAAATAAAAAGCTCCTTAGACTGAGTGACTGGTAGAGACTCAGGGAGGATGGGTGGGGCACAGAATTGCTCTCAAATGAAAGGCTCCATCGCCAGGACTCATCAGAGAGCAAAGCCTCACACCTGCACCAAGCTCGAAAGCGAGCAGTGCTCCCCTGTCTGGGCCCCGATCCACCCGCCACGGCAGCCAAAGGCCAGCCCACACCCACTCAGCTACAATAAGGCTGAAATGTTTCCTGGCATGGAGCCCTGTGGGATTATCAAGAGCTCTGTGCCAGCTACTGAAAC